GATGGTTAGCATTTTTTAGCAATAAAGTATTTTTTAATTAAGGTAAGTACATTTTTTTTAGATAGCGCTATGGCACACTTAAAAGACTACAGTATTGTATAAACATAAATTTTATAGACAGTAGGAAATCAAAAAAATTGTGTGACTTGCATCATTGCGATACTCATTTTATTGCAGTGGTTTGGAACTGAGCCCGCAAAATCTCCTGTATACATGCCTGTATTTTTTCCTCTAATGGAGAAATCTGGTGGACTTCACCTTAACAACTGGCATTAATGTGTCCAATAATGAGACAAATGGACTGCATCTGCATCCTGATGAGATGCACGCCTGTGAGAAATTTCTGTCCAGAGAAGTTGACAGCAGAATCTAAGCATGTAACTCAAACCAAGGGACATTTTTATACAACAACTCATCCAGATCCCTCAAAAATGGCAGTGTCATAAGCAAAAAACAAAAGAAAACAAACAGCAACAACAATAAAAAAAAAAACCAGAAAAAAACAATGAAAAAGAAAAAGAAAGTTGGCAAGTTTAGATTTTTATATTAAAGGAGAGTCGAGAGGCATGACTACCAAATTTGGTATATGATCCAGGATGGGCTTCTGGACCCTATCTGAGAACAATACTGTATCAGTGATATTTCCTGACTGTGATAACAGTTCTAGGGCTTACTGAAGATATGCTGCACTTAGAAGACCTATGTTGAAATATTTAGGGGTGAGATGTCACAAGAGCTGCGATTCTCAAATGATTAACCAAAAAAAAAAAAAAGTTAATTGTGTGTGTGTAAAACAGAAGTAAACCAAATGTTACCAACTGGTGATTTGAGGAGAAAGGTGTGCAAGTGTTCACTGCACTATTTTTGCAATTATTCTAAAGATTATAAATATTCCAAAGTTAAAAAAAATTAAAAAGAACTATTAACCGCTTCCATTTCCCCTGCCTCTGCAACTCCTAATGTCTGTATTAGTAAATGTTCACCATTGCCCAGCATCTAGATATTTACTTGTTTATTGCCTTACTGTTTTTCTCTTCTTCCTGTAAGCTTTACAGTGCCTGACACACAGTTGATAGTAAATAATTACTTGTGGAATGACTGGTGTTCACAATCATTCTGTGAAGCAAATACTAGCATTATCCTTTCTCTGCTGTGAGCTGTGCTGTCTCTTTAAAGGCAAAGATATGGAGGCACGCAGAAGTTAGGGAACTTCTCACTGGAGAGCTGGTACTGTTAACCACTCTTACGCAGCTTCCCTAGTGATGCTGGCTTGGTTCTCAAATGGTTCAGCTTCCGCCAAGCTACATGAGTTTTCCTTAGCCTATTCAGAGAAAGCGATGTTCACGTTTGCTAATTAAAGTGACCACTGAATAAATACACGAATTAGGTGGGAGACACCATCATGGGGGTACTGTTTAGAGAAACTTGCTGGATGAGGTGAGGCTTGATGGGCAAACTCAGTTTGTGCTGGAAGAGAGAGCACCGGTACACTCTGGGACCAGGGAGAGACCAGTGCACATGGAGGAGGGCAACCCCATCCATTCAGTCTCTGTATATGCCTCTCCCTGTCCCCACAGCCACCAGTATATAAAACCTTCACATCTCTTTGGGACCTGTGATGGTGCCTGCCCTGGCCTCCCTGTCTCCAATTCTGCTCAACTACAATCCTTTTCTCTTTACTTCTGCCAGGTCTTTCTTCTTCCTCAGTGCATGGCTCTGATTCTGTCAGTCCCAGTAAGAGTCTTTCTATGCCTGCAAAAGAGAATCCTCACTCCCAAAGGGGACATTCAGGGCTCCTGCATGGGGCCTCAAGCTCTCGTGGGCACACCAACTCTCCAGTAACCTTGATGGCTTTACTGCCAAGTTCACCCTGTACACTTTGCTCCCCAGTCCTTCTTATCTGGTTTCCTCCTCTGGGAAACTTTCCCCACATCATGGCATGTCCACATACCACCTATCCTAGGAGGCCAGATTCAAATACTCTCCCTTCCATGAAATCTTTACTTCACCAAAGATATGTGATGTCACAAAAGATGTTGCTCTCTTCCCTCTGCACACCCACAGCATTTTATGTTTATCTCTCTGACAACATTTACTTCTGTGCCTTACATTGTAGGTACTTTTGAGCATCATCTCAACCCCCATCCCCCTCCTAGGTTGTACTCCATAGATGCCTGCACCCCAAAGACCTTCAATAAACGCTGACTGCATGGAGGAGTGGATATAGCTCAGTGGTAGAGTGCATGCCTAGCATGCATGAGGTCCTTCCTGGGTTCAGTCCCCAGTACCTCCATCAGAATTAAATAAACCTAATTACCTCCCCCGGAACCCACTCCGTATCCAAAACAACACAAACAAGCGAACAAAAAAATAAACGCTGAGTGCAGAGTGGAGTAGGGAGGTGGATCTGGTGAATGTGCTAAGGGGCCTCCAGTGAGAAATCCCAAGGAAAGAAGCACTAGTTTGTATGACTGAATCACTACGCTGTACACCAGAAGCGAACACAACATTGTCAGTCAACTATACTTCAATCAAGAAAAAAAAGTACTTGTTCAGGGGGTTGTTATGCTCCAGGGGTTTGGCAATGACTTAACTAGGGGCCTGTGTGAGGAGAGGTTGATGAGGTGGGAAGGTTAAAAATCGAGACAAAGATACCTATTTCACGACTTAGCTGAAAACGTGTTAAAGGGATGAACGCAGTCCTAGGCACTCACAACTTGGCCCTCTTAAGTTCAGAAGGGAGAAGAAAGGGGCACTAACCGCACTAATTAGGAATCCCGAATTGAGGGCCCTGCTCCAGCTGTGGGGCAATTCTGACCCGCCGCCCTCCGCGCGGGCGCGGGCGCGGGTGGACTTGGCTTTGGCCGCTACGCGCTCCCGGAGGCGGCGGGGCCGGCGGGCTGCGCGTTCCGCGTCCTGAGAGGCCCGCCCCGGGCGCGCCCACGGGCTGCGGAAGCGTGAAGAGGTCCGCTCAAGCTCTGGGCGACAGTCCCTCGGCGGGAAGTAACTTGGTCACTCAGTCGCACAGAAAAGGCACCCGTTCCGGAGGAACACGGGGCGAGAGATGGGCGGGGGTCGTGGGGTTAGGAAGGATCCCCCGAGGGAGGAGAGAGCGCAGGGACAGGGAACGAGGCAGAGTCCCGTCTCTCGTTTTCCCCAAACAGGCTTCAGAGCCCTCGGTCCGCGTTCTTACTGACCACTCTAAGGAGACGTGTGGGGG